CGTCGGGGTGCTCCTTTTGCAGGTCCATCTACCAGTGGTGCTCCTCAGTGACCCGGCGAGATGTAGGCGCTCCTCTGCACCATCTTATGATGCCTCCGCGAGTAACGAAAAACCGCGGTCGTCCTAAAGGCAGCGTCACCGCAGTCGTGGGATCAGCAAAGAAATAAGGTAAGTTTGTTTGTTGTGAATTGATAGGACCTTGCATTGACAATTGTTAGTAAAACCATGTCTCGAACAGTGGTGAGTCGGCAAATATGACAGGCTCATATGCGGTGCGTTTCCGTTCTTGACTAACGTGTCTCGATCAATAACACATGGGATGGCGTAAAACTAGTTCACAATGTTTCTGCTCAGTTCGTACCATGTCTTGATGTATGTTTTTATTAACTTGTTCTTTTTTTCTTCAGACTACTGAACAGCAGTGGTGGATGGTGGGAGCGCTGGATTACATCATCCACGTACTCGGCTTTAAACCCGTCATCATCATGCACGGCATGATCACGGCGTTCCATGAATTGGACGTAACTTCGTTCATCGGAAATGCCTTGACTTTTTCCGGATATCTGTAGAGCTCTTAGGCTTGTTCTATTGTAAAGAACATGCTCGATATCTATATTCGTTTGCATGTCATGATGTGAATAGCTAGCTTGCCAAGACACACCTTCATGTACATGTATGAGTATTGCAAGCCCATCCAGAGACTCTGAAAAACTGAAAGCATTTCCGACTGTGTTGATTGGTTCCAAACTGGATAAGCGTTGTAAAATAGCACCGCTCACCAAGCAATGGTTGCTTACGTCCAACCTGTTGGGTCCCTGGATGTGCTTGCATTATCTCCTCACTAGTCGAGAAGAACGTTGAGCTAGCTTAGATCTGTCGTGTACCTGAACTTAAGTAGCTGAAGTGAACTAAGTAGCCTCGTCAAATGTCTTTGCTGCGTTCATAGTCGACAGCTCTACACATGCGAGAACTTACTGGGTAATTATATATTTGCTCCATGGGAAGAAAACGCATACAAATGTATGTACAATTTTGTTTTGTGCTAGTTTAACCAGTGACCCCTAAGGAGCATGTGCTCTTAAGAATACCAACTTAAGAGCATTGCTTTAGTTACTTATTCAATATGTTGTGCCACTGTTATATAATTGCTTAGTGCGTTCAACACCTTTCAGCCATGGTTGTTATTGATGTTTTTTGACACTGGTTGTGCTCGCACGCTTTGAATCTAGTCGAGAAGAACGTTGATAATTGTGCCTAGTGGTAGATTTTCATGCATCTCAGCACTCAGGGTGTGCCTTTGTTAGTGCACGGGATTTATTGGCACGTGAGAAAGTCTTCCTGCCATAGCGAGGCATGTCTGGCCACTCCAATACGGTAAAAGACCTGCGCTATTGTGACATGGTTGCTACTTCTCATGGCATGCATCTGTGATAAGCTTGTACGGGTGCCTGTCCAGAACTGTACGTCGTGTACCTTCCAAGGCTGTGGTTATCCCGGAGAGGTCATTGACCTCAATAATTAAATACATTTAAAGCTGGGCAACTCGGCTGAAGTGACTTGCGCGTTGTGAAAATCCCACGTGTCCACAAATACGTCTGATGAAACCCAACAAACATGTTGTGAGTTTCCTCTGTATGCGTAAGACCACTGGCAGCTCCACTGACACCTCTCACTGCGAATGCGTGGCTGGGTAATGTTCACGCTCATTTTAATCACAAATTATTCCGACAGCTGGGTTGTTTGACTCGGCACAATTACGACAGTAGTATGGGTGCAATATCAAAACAACGGCGCGACTAGATTCGCACGTTATCGATCGTTCCTTCGTTCTCACAACTTGGCCTACAATAAATTATGCATCAAAATTTAAGCCGTCAGAATATGTTACGAAGCGGCAAACAAGCAATGATTACACAACAGGGCAGTCTACATCGCCCAGACTGGCGCAAGGCACATTGTGGGTGTAAGATGCTGTGGTGGTCGGCGGCAGCGGGATGAGGCTGCGTAAGTGCGAAAAGACCTGCGTGCTGTCAATAGGTGAGGGCTGGCAGACCCAGGGTGCCCATCGCTGCCGCGCGGGTGACACGCTGGAGTTAAGCTGTACGTGTGGTGAACAGGGACCGAATCTCCAAAAGAACCCACGAGTCATTAAGGGTCCTGAACACAGCGAGGCTGCCAGAGGGGATGACTAGGTCACCGCGCCAGCCCAGCGCTTGAACAGTCGCCACCACTGGATCTTGCTGAAGAGCCTCGGTGACGATCCTGGCCCCGCGGTTAACCACCTCTTGCACCCTATATGACGCGCTGCAGCCACACCCCAGACCGAGAGGCAGTACAGAAGATGAGAGCATGGGACTCAATGATAGGTTTATGAACCTGGGGCGACGAATTTGTTAACTGTGGTTTGATTGTGGTGGAATTTGTTCATTGTGATTCGTCACAAACAGCCAATATTGTTGGTTGTGGCGGATTTTATGCAAGCGGAAAAGGATGGGGCTGCGCATTTTAGCATAGGATATAAGCATCTCCCAATAAAAGGTACCTGCGATACCCCCCAGCACCTTCATGGGCGACGAGGGGTCTTATTGGTGTACCGCACTGTCCAGGTGAAAAGATAAAGTTTCCTTTCAGGATTGTGGAGTGCCAGGAAGAGCTCTCTTGGTCCGCTTCATTTTAAGGGAGTTAGGTGTGAAGTAGGAATTAATCACTTGAATGGTTTCCTCCTGTCGTGATTTGAAAACGGATGGTTGGTCTGGATGAGTGGTCTGGCAGTTGGGTTTGGTCGGCACAGGATACTAGATATTCGTGAAGGAGGTAAGATATTCGTTCGTAAAAATACTGAATGGGATAGGGTCAGCCACGGATCACTGAGGGACACCGGGAATTGACAGAAGGGAAAGATTCAGCTTTTCACCATCCATCTTCGACCAGCAAGGTAGCTCCCAAACCAATTCGGATCAATACAATATCACTGCAGCTTTATCAGAACGACGCCATGGTCGATACAACTAAAGGCACGGCCGAAGTTTACGAAAGTGACGGCCACGATGTGCTTGACCCCAATCCGAGTACAGCTCACTCAACGGCATCGTCCAGGGCGTTTTCGGTTGAGTGACAAGATCTGCACGCGTACTGAAATGCAGCTAAAAGATCATGGGCACCGAGGTTGGACGCCAGCTGCATGCACACAACTTTTTCGTGTGTCTGACAAAACAGGCTAGTTGATATGCGTACGAAAATGTTAGCGGTTTCACGGAAGATATATTTGTGAAGAGCCGAAGGTAGAAAATAGAAGAGTGGAGAGAATATTTACCGCATTTCATTATTGGCGATACCCTCATTAGGTACCGCCAATGTCTGTCTAACCGCGAGGTTCTTTCGGCACAGACGTCTGCAAGTTTCCTAAACATAAAAAGCGGATCCCATAGCGTTGCGCAAAAGTGAAGTTCTTGGTTTTAAGTTGGCCCCAAGTTGAGCGAATTAAAATTTACAGACGCAAGACTGGTCTGGATGTCAAACACACCGGTATTGGTACCGCGTGCGGATCAGTTGGGTAGTTTCAGTTGCGTTACTTTTCATTACTAGGTTCAGTTAACGTACCGAATTGCATTCAGAATGTAGGTTGCATAGGCACGAACGTAGGTACAACGCAAGTTTGGGTTTGCCGATTTCGGTTCCAGTTTTTTTAAATTTTTTGAGTGAGGACTTAACGAAGTCTTCCATGCATTTCTCCATTTTACCCACCGCGTTATTCAACGTTCAATCATTGCGATTTTCCAGCCCAGGGGAACGCGACTTAAATTAAGTCTGTTTTTCCAAAGATGACTTCAAAT